ACACAGATTCTCCTGTCTATTATGGGAGCGCCACCTGCTGGAAACTGGGTCCAGCGTCCCATGAACATCGTGAATAAAGCACCAACCGGGACCCCACACACACTCTCTTCGAGTTGTGTATAGTGAACATGACAAAACATACATACAGCATAATCACTACCTTACCCTTCCCGAACCACATAAACAAACGAACTACGGGCTGCGCACCCGTGCCCTCACGGTAAGTCTCATTGTAAGTCAATGGTGCCTGTACCTGCCTGCATTTTTCGAACCGTCCAACGACCAACGGAGCCCGAATCAACAACCGGTATAACGATGGAAGACGAAAATGTCTGGGGGGAAAATGTCTGAGGGGAAGAAGACGCACCCCTGACGGGCTGCGAACTGCCACCCCCCCCAACGTTCAACCCTGCCGCTGCTTTGCCACCATTTGGACCAAAAACCCAGCGGAGCTGCCGGTCCCGCATTTTTCAAAGAAACTGCCACCACCCCTCAAAGTGTCGTGCCACCACCAAAGAAACTGCCAGCACCCCTCAAAGTGTCGTGCCTGCATGCATTTTTCGAACCTTCCAACGACCAACCGAGCCCTAATCAACGACCGGTAAGGGGGGAAATGTCTCAGGGGGGAAAACGCACCCCTGACGGGCCGCGAACTGTACCGCAGCCTTTGGGCTGCGAAGAACTCGGACGACGCTTGACTCTCGACTCGCTACTGTGTGTTGTATGCTAAGCTGGATTCTCGACTGGCTACTCAGACCGTCTGCTCGAACGTGTGTGTACGTGTAAGAGGAGGGGAGGGGCGGGGGGGAGCGAGCGAGCCAGAGAGAGAGAGAGAGAGAGAGAGAGAGAGAGAGAGAGAGAGGGCTCTCTACTGGCTACTTGGGCTGTCGACCCGCAGGGCTCTCTACTGGCTACTTGGGCTGTCGACCCGCTACGCTACTAACACACCCACACTCATCACACACACTGATCACACACACACAGACACCCATATACAAACAGACTGGTCACAAACGCACGCCTTTACATTTTCGACCGCCGTTTGTGCGGATTTGTGGTCGCGAAGCTCTTGCTTGAGGTTGGGCTCTGCATCGTGAAGGTCGAAGACGCTGAAGATTGGACTGTTCATTGCGTGGAGTCTTAAGGAGGACCGGGCCACCATAAATGAGGGTGAGTTAACCCTCCACGTGTATGTGCGTGCATGTGCTCAGTTTTTCTTGCGTTTTTATTCATTTTCTGCTTTTTAATTTTTGTGTTCTGTCGTTTATTCGATGGATGCCACGTCGTGTGTGTGCGCGTGCGCGCGCGCGCTAGAGAGAGAGAGAGAGAGAGAGAGAGAGAGAGAGAGAGAGAGAGAGAGAGAGAGAGAGAGAGAGAATAGCCTGAGGAGGCGGAAGTTGCAGAGGTCGAAACTTCCATCGATGCCAGGCCGATCGAACAAACGCGCGTGCGTGCGGACGCACATGAGAGAGAGAGACGGTGGGGGGGCGCAAGGAAGAAGAGGAAAAGTATGATTCATGCGTGTCATTTCCAAAGGGAACATGCT